AGTAGTTGGGACTACAAGTGTGTGCCACTACACTCAGCTGATTTTTAAAGAGTCCTTATCTTTTAGATATAATTTCTAAAACATTTACAAATTAACTTATATTATCTAAGATTTGCTTCAAAATAATGTGGTAAGAGTTGAAGCAGGGTGACAGGCCCATTTAGATTCATTATACCTTTCTATGTACTTTTGATTTGTTTGAAATTTTCCTTTATAAAAAATTTTTAAATTACTACATAACTGTTTTTGTGGGGTTTTTTGGTACTGGGAATCAAACTCGGGACCTTGAGCTTGTGAGGCAGGTGGTGGAACCACTGAGCTAAATCCCTGGCCCTACTATATAACTTTTTAAAACCCTGTATATTGCAAGCTAAATAGTATTGAGAGAAATAAGGAGGTCTAAATAAATAAATGAGAAACAAATTCACGTATCAGAAGACATTTTTAGGATGTTAGTCATTACCAATATAAACTACAAATTCAGTGTCATCCCATTCAAGACCCTGCATGCTTTTGTGTGACAATTAACAGGATGATTCAAAAATTACATGAAAACGCCAAAGATGGAGAACAGCAGTGGCGAAGCTATGGCACGCGTGCCGCAGCAAGCACACGGAGCCCCTCGAGCCATGTTGCCCCAGCAGCAGAGCAGCGGATGAAGTTGTTTTTCTAAACTAAAACCTCAGTATTCAGGTTTAATTGCAACGTTGCCACTTTGAGATAAATCAAGTGGGTTTTGGGGTGCAGTTTGGGTCCTTATCTCTAAAAGGTTTGCCATCACTGATATAAAGTAACACAATTGTAAGATCTAAATCGGAAGCCTTATACATTAGCAAATTTCAGGACACTACAAAGCTACATCATTAAATACAGTGAGGTTTTGGCTTCAGCCCAGATGAATGTGAAAAACATCGAGTCTTGAAATAGACCAGGGATAACATTTATCTGATGTAGGACAGGGTCACCAGTGCAATCCAGTGAGGAAAGCCTTCCGTAAACAGTGTGGGAGGAAGGGACTGTGGTCGGTGAGGTGCTGAGGGCCCTGCAAGTGCAGATCAGATTTAAAATTTTGATATTTTTTCCTTCAGAAATTTTTCCATTAACTGATTTATCAGGAATACTGAAGTAAGCCACGTGTGGTACACACCTGTAATGCCAGACTCTGGAGGCTGAGGCAAGAGAATCACTGTGAGTTGAAGGCCACCCTGAGCTACATAGGGAAACATTGTCTCAAACAGGAAAACAAAAGTAAGTAAATAAAAATTAAAATAAATAAAAAGCAAGAACTTCTGTTAAGATGAAAGGGAAGGCACAGAGTGGGAGGATTTATATTTAAATGGCAGAGGACCCATGTTCATAATATTTAGTTACTTATTTAGGGTTTTTTGGTGTGTGTGTGTGTGACAGGGTCTTGCTATGTATTCCAGGCTGGATTGAACTCACTATGCAGCCCAGCCTGGCCTTGAACTCTCAGTGATCCTCCTTCCTCAGACTCCAGAATGCTGGGATTACAGATGTGTGCCACCACGCCCAGCTACCTGTTCATAATATTTAAAGAATTCTCAGAGCCAGGGATGTAGCTCAGTGGCACCGAACCTGCCTGGCAAGCACAAGGTCCTGAGTTTGATCCCAGGTACCAGAAAAAAAAAGACAAAAGATTTGAACAGGCAGTTAACAAAAGAGAATTTCCTGGGCCGGGGATTTAGCTCAGTGGTTTTGCTGCCTGCTGCACTAGC